TTTAGGGCTTAGGGGCTTAAGGTTTAGGGGCTTTGGGTTGAAGGCTTTGGGTTTAGGGCTTAGGGTTTAGGGTTTAGGGTTTCAGCACCCAGAACAAGGCTGTCCCGGGCAGTCGGGTATCCAGTTCTACAGGTGGGTCGAACTACTACACCCTAATCCCTAAACCCTACACCCTAAAACCTAAACCCTAAACCTTAAACCCTACACAATAAGCCCTAAACCGTGACCCCTACACAATAAGCCCTAAACCGCCTGACCCTAATTATCACAAAAGTTCCCTACACCCTAAACCCTAAACCCCAAAACCCTAAACCCCAAACCCAAAGCCGCTGAAAAGTATTCTGGGCCCCTTGCCTTCTCTGAGAGCTGCACGTCCCAGTTCAATCCCTGAGCTTTGCAGATCTTCCTGACCAGGGTGGGTTTCGGTTTAGGGTTTAGGGTTTAGGGTTTAGGGTTTAGGGTTTCGGGTTTAGGGGATCGAGCTTAGGGTTTTGGGCTCTGGGTTTTGGGCTTCGGATTTGGGGTTTTAGCTTCGCGTTCTGAGTTTGGGGTTCAGGGTTCCGGGTTTTACTGTTTCGGGTTTAGGGTTTAGGGACCCTAAACCTAAATGGGTTTAGGGGTTTCGGGGTTTAGGGTTGAGGGTTTAGAGACTCTGAACCTAAATGGGTTCAGGGTTTTTAGGGCTTAGGGACTCGAAACCTACATGGGTTCAGGGCTTTAGGGTACAGGGACTCTAAACCTGCATGGGGTTTAGGGTTTAGGGTTTAGGGTTTAGGGTTTAGGGTTTAGGGGCATGGGCCACATGGGTTTAGGGCTTTAGGGCTAATGGTTTAGGGACTCTAAACTTCAAACCTAAATGGCTACGTTACGGCAAAACCTACAATGCATGTTGGAGGGTCTCGCGCGAATCAGTGTCCATCCATCGTGGCGGACGGGGCTTGCACACCCCGGTAGACACGAAATCGTCGCAAAAGCCTCCTAATCACATAATGCAGGGGCCTTGATAATTAGACTAGGGTTTCGGGGTCCTTTAAATTAAGTATCACTATAAAAAGGAACCCCAAAACAGCACTGGGAATTATGAATGCCCCAAAAATTAGTACGGTTTCGATGCTCAAAACCCTTCGAGTGCCTAAAACCCAAGACCATAAACCCTGATGATTCCTCCGCCCTTCAGCCATGATATCTTTGAAGCCTAGAGTATCATAGTATATTATAGTATGCTGTATATAATACATGTTGTAATGTATTATGGTGATGCCTATCTGGAGCAGTCTTGCCGGCAAGCATCTCGAGCTGACTGAAATGCTGCGTTTGCCACCTGTTCGTGGGTCGCCCGTGCTAGGGCTTTGCTCTCCTAGACTCGGGTACCATTTTGGTCTCGCCGTGGCTCCATAACGAAGGATTGCATCAGGGTAAGGGTTTATGGAAGATGCCGGATATCGATTTGAAGGACTCTCGAAGTTGGAGTGTAACCTGAGGCTTAGCGGTCATGTCGTGTACTTATATAGGGACCGAACGGAGAGCCAAGAAACTAAGAGCTGCCGACCGCAAGAACACCTAAACCCTACATCCGCAAGGCTCTGGGCTTGAATGGTCTTGCCCTTGACCTGCAAAACCCCCGAAGTCTAAATCCCCATGACCAAGAAACTGTAATGGGGGCCTGAATGATTAGACTTGAGGTCTGAATGGGTTTAACAGGTTTTACATGGGCTCCATGCAGGGGCCTTCCTTCATCATTGGAACGGGGCCGAACAAGGTCTTGGAGAAAATAGGATCGGAACTACTACAGTAGGGTATGATATGCAATAAAATACTAATTATACAGAAAACTCTAACCCCCTATAGCCCGAAAATCAAACTACTTTGAAACTTCAGCTTTCGTCAGAAGTATCAACTTAATTGTTGGAACTTGCGTGATTAGCTCGGTGCTGTGCTAGCTAACCACATCAAAATACATGCCTCTTTCAGTAACTAACTAACTAACTAACTAACTAACTCACTGACTGACTGACTAACTAAGCTTTATTGGGCAATGTCCTGGTGCCATCGAAGGACTCATGATTCCTTACACGGTTTTGATAGGTTGTCAGAATGGCTTTGTTAAGCTTCTTCGGGTTGTAGGCGGGCAATATAAGGTCTCACAGTCTGAATTTGGTGATTTCGTCCTTTGCCGGTCCTCTGCCAGCTCGTCCCGGAAGATTTCGTAAAGCTTCTTCTGGTTCCAAGCCTGCAATCACAAGGGTGGCTTCAGGGTTTAGGGTTTAGGGTTTAGGGTTTAGGCTTCAGGTTGTTTAAAAGGCTTCCCGGGTCAAGGGGACTCCCAACAAAGGTACCTCAGCCCTTGCCCTCAAGACAGCACCTTCGTTCTCCAAACCCTATGCAAGCGCATTTGCATCTTTTTGAACTATGGGGCGCCGGGCCATCTAGATTACGTCTTTCGAGCTTTATCCCCAAGCCCCAAAACCCTAAACCCTACACCCTAAACCCGAAACCCGAAATCCTAAAGGCTAAACCCTCAATCCTAAACAATAAGCCCTGCATCATGACAGAGCCCAGAGAACCGGAGACCACCGTCAACTTCACTTTCGGATGAAGGGCTCAGGATTTGGGTTCGCGATTTGGGGCTCTTTGTCTTCTTGGAGCTCCTTTTTGCCCATCTCAGGGTTTAGGTTTAGAGTTTAGGGGTTTAGGGGTTTAGGGTTTAGGGTTTAGGGTAGGGTTTGGGGTCGAAGGTTTTAGCACATCGGCGGCGCAATTCCTAAGGCCCCTCAATCCTACAAACATCTACAAAGCGAAAACCAGAAAGTCTCGATCTCAGCCCACAACTTCCCGAACACCCTCGGACTAGGGTTTAGGGTTTAGGGTTTAGGGGTTTAGGGTTTAGGGTTTAGGGGACCCAGTCCTGCGGCACCAAGAAGGCCACGTGGACACCGAAGTAGCCTCTCACACATCGGCTTGGTTTCAGCGTCGGAGCTTTGGGTCGGTGTGAAACCCTGAACAGTAGAGCCCAAACCCTACCTATAGTCTTCATTGTAGTTCCTTTTTGTGGTTAAACCAACTTTGTATTTAGGATCCTATAAGGTAACCCCAAAAAGGAACTACATTGGAGACTATAGGTAATAAGGAGTGTTCGTTAAAAATCATGATGAGAAGCCTATGATATACTATAATATAATGGGGGAATCTTTTGGTCCGCAGTGTTGGACCTTAAGAGCTCACCTCATATGGTCCTATCCTATCTCTCAAGAAGTGCACGAGCAATAGCCCGACAGGACGAAATAGGAAGTCCGAACAGCAAACCTGCTGTTTCCTAAACTAACCTAAAGTCGTCACAGCGCCTATAGAACTCAAAAGCCCCACAGCTGTCAATAACGAAATCAGACCCCAAACCCAACGCATCGATCTCAACACGGAAACCAAGATCGTAATTATCTGCCTGGACCGGCAAAAAACATCCCAAAAGAAGCACCGAACGAATGCCCCCTATTTCCCCCCGCACCCTAGAAGCACACCCAGAATAAGCCCTGCACAAGTAATAGCAAACCCTGCGCCTTGTCTGAACTCTTGAACCTTCAACCCGAAACCTTTACACCTTACACCCGCCGTAAGCGATAAACCCTCACACCCCAACTCCAGACCCTGAAACCTGCCAGCCCTACCTTAAGAACCCAAAACCCACTTTTGTGTAGGTTCTTATTATAAACCCTAATATGGGATTTACAGGGACCCTACAAAAAAGTAGGTTTTGGGTTCTTAAGTTAAACCTTGAACCCTGAACCCTTGAAAACCTCAGCCGAGAAAGCCTACGATGGGCTTGCCGGCGCGATGCATCCTTGGGCAGCCCCGCTGTGGGCTCCCATTGGGTCAAGGCTTCAGGGGCTTTGTGGGCTGGCATAAACTCGGTGTGTGAAGGGTTTGCTAAGGCTTTATGACGCTGTCTGAGGGTTAGAAACAAAAGCCTTAGGGGTTTAGGGTTGAGGGTTTGCCACGACTTGGAGCAGGTTTAGGGTTTAGGGTTTAGGATCTGGCCCAATGCGAAGATGGAGTAGATCTCCCAGTGCTGAGTAGCTCCCACCCCTGATTTCTCTGCGCAGTCTGCGTCCAGAGGACGGGTTGGATGACTCCAAAAAATCCTAAAACCCTAAACCGTGCCGCGCCTCTGGTGCAAGAGCCCGTAGCATGTGTTCCCTGCACCCCAGGTTTGCTGGCCCCAGTGGAACAGCGGCAAAGGATTCAGGCTGCTAGGGTTTAGGGTCTTTTGCATTTTGGGGGTTGAGGTTAAACCCTAAACCCTGAACCCCGAACCCCATAGATGGGGGCTTAGGACGCAGGCTTTATGTCCTTAGGGCTTAGGGATTTGGATCCCACAAGGTTCTGGGTGTATAGTGAATTCCACTGCAGGATCGCTTTGATTGCAGCTTAGGCCTTCAGATTGAGGACACTTCACGCAGGCTCTGGGCATCCAGGGGTTTGGGCCTTAGGGCTTTAGACGTTTACGTTTCGGGTTTGGAGCTTATAGGCCTTAGGGTCGAAGGAACAAATCTTGTGATGTAGAAGTAAATTACGAACACTATATTCCGTAGGGTCCTCTTTATAGTCGAAACGCTATTCTGATGATTGAGGCCCCCAAATTACGAACACTTGATTCCGTAGGGTCCTCTCTATAGTCGAAACGCTATTCTGATGATTGAGGCCCCTATATTATCAGTGCAGTCCAAGCCGCGATACACAGGCAATGGCAGGCTCACTGCAGAAGGCGATGTTGGCATCCCGGAAGGACTGGGAGCAGGGCAGGCTTGCGGCTTGCCGATGCCAATTCATGTGTGAACTCGCATCCAGCTCGAAGTGGGAAAGATCTGTCTTAGGAAGACCAGGTGCCTTAATCATTCGAATAGGGTTTTGGGGTTCATTATAGCTAAGGAAGGATATTACAGGTAATTTAGGCTTCTATAGTATCCGGACAGAGAAGAACCCATCTGTCTCGGGAGCCTGGGCTTTGAAGGTCACAGGCTTTCTGACATCGGGGTCAGTGCGTTTGGGCTCCAGGACCCCAGGGTTGGTTGAGGCAGACATCCTAAACCCTACCTGGGCCCCCAACGCAGGTAGAAGAATAGCCGTTGAAAGGTGCTGGGCCATGAAATTACCTACATTTTGGGGTTTGGGGGTTTAGGCAAACCCTAAACCCGACTTTGAGCGTGTTTGGCAACCAGAAGTTCTCAGAGCGTCTCGTCCCTTCACCAAGATATACATGAGCAGGGCTTCGATATGTGCATCTGCAAACAACAATTCCAATCACGATCATCTCAATCGTTATCATATTACCAATGAGGGATGAACCCTCAACATCAATATCGCAAGAGACAGCAAGTCCGATCTCCAAGCACGGCAAGCAGGCTCAGCGGCTCAGTTCCAGACCCGGCGTCCCGCTAACCAGCAACGCTAAACTTGTCGGGCCCCAAACCCTAAATTCCAAACCCTGACCTAAGCTCATCGCAGAACGACCTGGCCAACAAACCGTCTACCCTAGGGGCAGATTGCATCTATGACACCCCACTGCGAGAATAAAGCCAAGTCACCTCGTCTTGGACCAGCAGCTCTTGCAACTCCTTCTCTTCTTGTTAACAAAGCAGCTCGGTGAGGTTGACATTAACAGCTTTGATGACGGCTATTTCCGTTCTGCCAGTTCTTCTGGCACCGCCACCACCACCGCCACTTCTAGTGCTTTCAGGTTCTACGCCTCCGACAGCCCCGGTCTGTACGAAGCTGGCTGGGCGGTTCAGGGTCCAGGCTCAGGGAGGTTCTGAGATTGAAACTTCAGAGTTTGGGATTTGGGGAGTGCGGAGAAATCAAAAACGCGAAGAACCCCCGGCCATGTTTCGGGCTCGGGGATCATGGAGTCCCGATGAGTTGGGACATTGCCTTCTTGGCATGAGATTGTAACGTTCAATCCCGAAATTGAAAGCAGCGGCATGCGATTCAGAGAGGCCTGAACGAATGCCGTGCATCGCACAGAGAGGCTTAGGGCTACGGCTCAGGGATCAAGGTCTGGAGTCAGGGTTTGGGATGTCATGTTCAGAACATCAAAACCCCACACAAAAAAAAAGAAACACGCGGCAAGCCCACCCCGAATCCCCAATCCCAAAACGCCGAAACCCCGAAAAAAACAGAGCAACCCTTGTAAGAAACTCACCATGGAGGCTTTTTGCCTTTCAATGCCCACGCTCCCCTCAAGCCCAGTATCCTAAGCCCCCGACAGAGCCAAAAGAAGGCACTTAAATTTTCAATCGGACCCTAAACCCTAGGCCCTAAACCCTAAGCCCTATTAACTCCCTCCCTCCCCCCCGCCCCACAAAAGAAGGCCTCGACGAAGGTCCACGCCTCGGGAATCGAGTCCTTGTGAGCCTCTCCTGAGCTTTAGTGCGTTTATACGGTTTAGGGTTTAGGGTTTTAGGGATTGGGGTTTAGGGTTTAGGGCTTTAGGGTTTCAGTGTTTAGGGTTTAGGGCTTTAGGGTTTGGGCTTTGGGGTTTATGCGGTTTGGGGTTGGAAGCCCAAAAGTTGGAATAGGGAATCCCCAGCATGTTGTGTCCTTGATTCGGTTTCCAACTTTTTGAGGTTTACTATCGGGCTGTGTAGGTTTGAGGTTTAGGATTTTAGGGGTTAGGGTTTAGGGTCTACGGCAAAGTTTTATGTCCAGGGTTTCAGTCTTGGGCAAAGGGCTCTAGATGGGTTCGATACTAGGCCCCAAAATCAAGCATGTTGGGGCTTCGTGTGTAGGGTTTGAGGCTAAGGCTATAGGATTTTAGGGTTTGTGAATTGTTGCCCTGGTTGAGGTTAGTTAGGGTTCTGTATAGATGCAAGCTCAGGCATTGGGATTCTACGTATCGGGCCTCGGCAACGTCAAGAGTTCAAGTGAGTTGAAGTTCAAGAGGGTGCATGGTCAGTGAAGAGCCATCCATGAGGTCACCTTTCAACAGCAAGTGTCAGGTGCCAGGGGTTGTAGATCAGCTTGTCGATATTTGTGCTGATAACTTACGAAAGCATCTTCTTGCAGATGAGGTCGGAAGATTAGGTTCACAGTATAGAGTTCCCGTTAGGGTCTGGCCCCATGGGCTCCACGCCTCAAGGCCCTGAACTCTGAACCTCCCGGAGCTCTCAACCCCAAGAATGGATAAAAGCCACCCCGAAAGCCGCAAAGACCGACACACCCCGAGAGCCTACAGACCGCCTATTACCCCCAAACCTTATAAGCCGCCCCAAAAGGGAAGCCCCCCCAAGAAGGTATACCGCCATTCTACCCTCCGCAATCGTATCCCTCGACCACAATCCCTTAAACCCCAAACCCAAACTCCTAAAGAGACCCCCTAAACCCTAAACCCTAAACCCAAGCCCTATGAGCCTTCAAACCAAGAGGCTCATGCTGCGTGGTCCGTGGCCTCTCAAGGGCACACGGCGTGGGTTGACAGGCTTCGAGTTTAGGGTTTCAGTCGCAGGTTTCGACTTCAGAGTTTATCATAGGGTTTAGGGTTTAGGGTTTAGGGTTTAGGGGGTTTGGGTTTGGGCCTGGGGTTTGGAGTTTCGGGTGCAAAAAAAACCTCCTGCAAGAGACATATCGCTCCTGCCTAGGAGTTCTGTTCGGAACTCTCCACGGTCCCTTCCCGCCTGCCAAAGACCCCAACCCTTAACTCGCCCCAAGGACTGCGGCATTTGACGGTTTAGGGATCCAGCCCTAATAACCCTAGAACTGAACCCTACCTGTAACCGAAAAGACCTACCGTTTGTAAGGAGCTATATCTAGAAACCGTGATAAGGAACCCTGAAAAGGTAGGTCTTTTCGGCTACAGCTAAGCCCTGTGCGGCTTGGGGGGTCCGGGATCGGAGCCCTTAAAGCTGCAAGAACCCGGCTCTGAATCAATGAACAAGCATGACAGTTATGATGCTGGTACTACTGTTGATGGACAAAATTCTGCATGACCCAAATATAGTATAGTACCATAAATCCTATAGTTTAGGTATATAAGGTCATGCAGGATTTTGTCCATCAACCGTAGTAAATCAACCCTTTCCTTGCACCCTAAACCCTAAACCCTATAGACCCTAAACCCCAAACCCTAAGCCCCCTACCTGCGTGGCCGTACATTCCCTCCAGCCCCAATGGTCCGAACACAAAGACCTCACAGAGTCTGATATATAGAAGCTCATCATCTTTGGGCCCTAACTAACACTGATTTTCATGACTTTAGAGTCCAGAGAGCAACCCAGCTATCACGAGAGAGGCAGACATACCTACCATCGTTTTTACACCTTCCCTACTCAAGAGGTCAATTGCGCCTACTGGAAGGGATGGGTGAAACCGAAGAGTAAAGGCAACGATACAAGATTCCGAAAGCTCTGCGCTCTTTTCCGACGTCCTGGAGACACCTCTGCGAGATTCTAGGGATTCGGGATCTTTGGGTTCGGGGACTATGCAAGAGCCACGATGGGATGCGAATTTCGGCCGGCGCAAGTTTTCTTTGACGCAGAGCTTGAAGTTGAGCCACAAGGACTCTTCCTTCTTGCTGCTTACTGTCCCAAATATTCCGATTGCTACCTAGACGACTATTAAGGGTTTAGAGTTTTAGGGTTTAGGCTTAGGTTCTATGTGATTATTACTTGTACCATGACTCAGATGCTTTACGATTAGCCTCAAATGGAGAGGCCGACTTCAATAACTGCGTCATGCGCTTGCCCAAAACTTGAGGTGGTCAAAAACGCACCCGTGCGTTCGCACGAGGTCAGGGGTGACCCTCCTCTTTTAGGATTCACGGTCTTGGGTTTAGGACGTAAAAAGGCAGACTTTCGGGTTCGCGGATCAATCCTGGAGAAGACCTGTGCCCAGAAGGCTGAGAGACCGAAGCCCAACACCCCGAATCTAGGATCCTTCATTTATGTATGTATGTATGTATGTATGTATGTATGTATGTATGTATGTATGTATGTATATATTCTTTTTGATAAAGGTTCACAAGCAGAATAAGTGTTTAGGCAACTAAAGCAAATATAACCGGAATCACCGGAATCACAATTTATCCAAAATCACTGTTCTAGTTATTAAGGTCCTAAGCTAAACCCTCATGGGTAACCTTAAAACCCCCTTTAAGGATACTGCTGAACAGAATTAGAACTACTGATTCTTCACACCGTTTGATTGCGTGTCGTAAACCGAAAACCCTCTGCGGCTCCAGAGAGAAAATGCGGCCGACACCCCCTGTGAAGAGCCGCCTTCAGGAACCAAAGTAATGAAGGCTAGATTTTTGAGGCTGTGTGGATCAGCTGGTGTTTCGGAGTTGAGGGTATTGGGAGGTGTCGGGCTTGGCGGTGAAGGGGATTGAAGGTTGAGGCTTTGCGCGCGTGCAGGTGAAATAGAAGTAGGCTTATCAGGGCGATCAAGTATGCAGGCTTTTGGGGGAATGCTTTAAGGTGCATTACGTCATTACGTGATTATGGCTCGCTTTCTGGATTTGCGCTTTGAATTCAACGGCTCCGGGTTAGATTCAAGCCTTGGGATTGAATGTCCAGGGTCTTGGGTTTAGGCCATTCAATTCCCTATGGTTTAGCTTGAAGTCACAGGGTTCCCACTTTGGATTCCATACGTGTTTAGGTTTACCTGGAGGCACTAATTACCTCTCTTCAATCAACAAACCCTAAACCCTAAACCCTAAACCCTAAACCCCAAATCCTAAACCCTAAACCCTAAACTTTGCCGGCCTGGGTGTTCGGATTTGGGGCTTGGGGTTGGGCCTTGGCACTGCAGGAAGCGTTGATTTTGCAGGGGTCTCGGTTTCGCAAAGGTTCGGCCTTAGCGCTTCGGGTTTAGGCTTTGGGGTTTAAAATCCTGGGGTTTTTAGGTTGGGGTTTGGTGGGGTTTGGCGGGGTTTGGGGCTTGATGTCTCGAGTTTAGGGGTCTGGGGTAAAGGTTTGTGTTTGGGACTAGCGCCTATGACGGTCCAATCTGTATGGCGGGGTAAGAGGAGTGTAGGGAATCCACACAGCCTAGAATGAGTCGTGCAGCTTCTGGAATGCAAATTCGACAGCCGGGCGCGGCGAGCTCTTTAGGATACCTCAACTTCCTGGTTAGGGGTTGAGGGGCTTAGGGTTTAGGGTTTAGGAGCTTAGGGCTTAGGGGTTAGATCCTTAACCTCAAACCCTGATTCCAAACCGCGATTCCAGACCCGGAACCCAGAACATAAAGCTTGAATCCGAGAACCCAAGCGCTCGCATTAGCCAGACGCTCGGCTTAACATCTAAAACAGATGGGAGAGACGATTCCTGACAGCAGGTTCAACTTGGTCTTAGGTTTTCAGCCCTGGCAGCACGACACACTAGACTGTGCGGCTCGTAAGGGCCTGAAGACGTATATAGAAGGAGGTTGAAGGAGGTTTGGTGCCAATAATATTCGTATATATTCTTCGTAGAGACTACAAAAAAACTGTTGCTAATTAGTCGCGACCTTGGGCTCCAGCCTAGCTATTAAACCCAACAGCTAAATAATAATTGCCTGACACATTATTCAGGCTTCTTGCCCTAAACCCCGAAACCCCTAAACCCTACACCCCTAATTAAACCCT